CAGCCGACTCGTCCCAGGGCCCGCAGTCTGGCCCTCCAACAGTCTGAGGGACAGTAAACTGGCCTCCAGTTTCAAAAGTTTGAGGACCCCTGACCTAGGGTGACAAAGTGAGACTCTGTCTCAAAAAAAGACTAAAGAAATCCCACATTGGGCGGCACCTATGGCTCAGTGAGTGGGGCACTGGCCCCATATACTGAGGGTGGCAGATTCAAACCTGGCCCCGGCCAAACTGCAACAACAACAACAAAAATAGCCGTGCATCATGGCAGGCACCTGTAGAACCAGCTACTTGGGGAGGCTGAGGCAAGAGAATTGCCTAAGCTCAAGAGCTGGAGGTTGCTGTGAGCTATGATGCCACAGCACTCTACTGAGGGTGACAAAGTGAGACTCTGTCTCTAGAGAAAAAAAAAGAAAGAAATCCCACATACCAGAGTCACCCTATTCCTCAGTTGTTAATATATTAGCACATTTGCCTTGTTGTTTCCTTATATACGTATGTGCTTGCACGCTGTTGCTGAACCATTTGAGAACAAGTTGAAAGCACAATGCCCCATCACACATTAATGTTATCTATTAATTTCCTTAAAATCTGTTAATTTTATCTATTAATGTTATCTATTAATTTCCTTAAAATGAGAAGACTCTTGGCTGCGGGGGTGGCACTTTCCTGTAGTCCCAACTGCTTGGCAGGAGGCTGAGACCAGAAGATTGCTTAAGCCCAAGAGTTCAAGGCTGCACTGAGCTGTGATTGTACCACTGACCTCCAGCCTTTGTGGTATGTTTGTTTCTAAGAGTCAGAGTCTCTCACTTTGTCACCCTTGGTAGAGTGCTGTGGTGTCACGGCTCACAGCAACCTCCAGCTCTTGGACTTAGGTGATTCTCTTGCCTCAGCCCCCTGAGTAGCTGGGACTACAGGCACCCACCACAATGCCCGGCTATTTTTGTTGTTGTTGTTGTTGTTGCAGTTTGGCCGGGGCCGGGTTTGAACCCACCACCCTCGGTATATGAAGTTGGCGCCCTACTCACTCAGTCACAGGTGCCTCCCTGATTCCAGCCTTTGTAACAAAACAAGACCTTGTCTCCAATGAAAAAAATTTTTTAAGACTCAGTGCCCGTAACGCAGTGGTTACGGCACCAGCCACGTGCACCAAGGGTGGCAGGTTCGAACCTGGCCTGGGCCAGCTAAACAACTAAAACAAAAAAATAGCCAGGCATTGTAGTCCGAGCTACTTGGGAGGCTGAGGCAAGAGAATTGAGGTTGCTGTTGTTATGCCCAGGAGATCCCCCAAAGACCACACCACCAGATAAGTCGAATTAAAGAAGAGTCCTTTTCTTGAAGAGCCAGCTGGCAACTGCACCAGTGTCCCAACGTGGGGTTTCTGAGTGCAGCCCCAGTTGACTGAGGCTCTGACTTTTATAAGGCAAAACTTTTCCAGGGCACAAGCATGCATAATTACAGAAGTGGAAAACAGCAGTTAGGGGAAATCGCAAGAGTGAGGTGGCTTAGTCAGTTTACAATGCTATGATCGTGAGAGCATTTAGTAATTCTTTTTACAAAACGAATGCAATCTACAATGTCCTAAGGTAGTGTAGGGAGGGGGACTCGCAGGTGGAGGTCATAACAACGTGATCACAAAAAGCGATAGTCACTGAGGATATAATCATGAGTGCAGTCAGTAACCTACATCACTAACAATTTAAGTTGAATGCATTCACAGTTATACAATGGGAGGGCAAATAAAAGGAGCCAGTTTTGAAGGTAATGGAATATAACAGAAAAGGAGTAAATAGTAAAGTGGAGTCAAATTTGCTCTGGTAACAAATGGAATCAGTTTGTTTGTTTTTTTTTTAATGCAAGAAAATGTAGCAAAATACTCAGGTCTATTTTGCTTTTCCACTGAATTACATCAAAGTGGAGTTAGGCTTGCTTTTCTTTTACCTTAACACTGTGGGCTATGATGCCACGGCAGTCTACCAAGGGTAACAAAATGAAACTCTGCCTCAAAGAAAAAAAAATATTTTTTAAATAAATGAGAATACTGCCCTACCTAAGCACCATGCCACCATGAATAGCAGGACACTGACAGTCTGCATTCAGATGGCAGAGTAATACCAAGTAACGCCCTTAATAGTAAAGTCTCATTTGGGATTGCATGTTATGCTTTATTGTCAGTCTCTTTAGTCTCCCCCATTCTGCTGCTGTCCTAGATTTTCCTTGCCTTTCACAACCTCAACATTTTCTGAAAGTACAGCCTGGTCATTTGAGTGAACATTCCTCAGTTTGGGTTTATCTGATGTGCTGTCTGCCTCCGGTGCAGGCTGTGCTCTCTGTGAGGCACAGGCAGCACCTGATGGCAACTTGTCCCTTCACTGGTGATGTGACTTTTCCTCCTTTGTTACGATGGGTCTGCAGGGTTTTCCACTACAGAGTTAATTCATAAGCATTTTATACTGACTAATGAAAAAATACTTTATGGGGAGATATTTTGAGACTGTATAACTGTCCTTTTCCTTCTGTTTTCATCCACTAGTTTTAGCATCTATTAATGACTTCTAGCCTGAACTGGTTACTTCTATACTGTGATGTTTGCCAAACTTTGCATTTCTTTTCTTTTCTTTGTATACGAGGCTAGCTATTGAACAAACCATTTATTCTGTATTTATTGGTTGGCTTTCTGAAAGGTGGTGCTTTCTCTCCTCCATTTAGTGACTTATGTGTTTATTTATATCAGTGATGAACCTGTGGATGCCAGTTTTTTTTTTGTTTTGTCACTTTGTCACCCCCAGTGAAGTGTGGTGGCTTCATAGCTCACAGCAACCTCCAACTCTTGGACTCAAGCAATTCTCTTGCCTCAGCCTCCCACATAGCTGGGACTATAGGTGCCCACCACAACACCCAGCTATTTTTAGAGACGGGATCTCTCTCTGGCTAAGGCTAGTCTCAAACCTGTGAGCTCAGGCAATCCACCTGCCTCAGCCTCCCAAGTGCTGGGATTACGAGCATAAGCCACCGCACCTTGCCTGGATGCCAGTTTTATTCAGTGTAGTTTAACTGTTCAAATGATCTCAGATTTGGCCAGCAGGAGCCCTCCACACTGGCTTCTGTGTCCTTGCTGATGTGTCTCATCACTGCTTACACTGCTTCCTTGCTTTCTGGTATAAAACACCTAAGATCATCCCGTACTTCCTCTGACCCAGCCCTGAGCCAGCAGGTTCTCCAGAGCACCCTGGTCCTAAATAGTAGAGAAGGTAGTTAGTGGAGAATGGTAGTTAGAAACCAAGGTCTGGGTACAAGGAGTGGTCAGCACCCTCTACAGGTTGGCTGAGTGACACGCCTGGGTGTTCACATGCGCTTGGGCACTCATCAGTGGCTGCAGTTCCAACCCAACAACAAAAGGTTCTTCTAGCTTTACTCTTCCTATGTTTCTGAATTCCTTCAGGAACAATAAGAAGCAAGGCTCCACTATCTCATGTGTTTGCTCATTTGTGCACTTCTCTTATGTGTTAGGCAAAGCCTCTCTGCTCAGACGAAGGGGAAAAAGAAAGGGGCTACAAATTAGTTTGAAAAAATTATTTCTGTACTTTAGTAAATTAAATGGGGAAAATGTGTAACTATGATAAAAAATAAGAGATAGCCCTGGCCCATCTTTATGTCCAGGTCAGGATCAGTGTAAGGGACTAGGAAGAGTGAGTTAAGACCCGCATCCCAGACCAGGGGCAGTGGCTCACAACAGTAATCCCAGCACTTAGGAGGCCAAGGTAGGTGGATTGCTTGAGCTCACACATTCGAGATCAGCCTGAGCCAGAGTGAGACCCTGTCTCTTAAAAAAAAAAAAAA